GATTTTAGTGATTATTTAAACACAGTCTCACTGGTTTATGAAAATTGTCAAAACTCCCCATTTTTCCATTTCAAAAATATATGCTGAAGTCTATTTTATACCCATTTGCACACAATTTAAATTTGATAGAGTAATAAAATAAAAGTCATCAATTATGAAAATGGCTATTCACGTGGCATCTCAATAACTTTTGGAATTCTCAGAGAAAAGGGGAATTTCTCAACACAGCTATAAATTTGTAAAAGAATTGCCTTCATATGGCAGTTTAAAAATTACTATGCATTTAGTAATACTCAATGCTAGAGATGATCCCTTTAAGAAAGGAAAGAAATTGGGACAGAAGCAAAATATCCTAACGATATCTGGAACTATCTCAAATATACAGAGTGCTTGAATGTGTCATGTGTATGTGTAAAACTAATAGATACATACATACTAATTAGCTATACATATAGTAGTTAATAAATGATGACTAGTAATGTATTTGTGCCTATAGATGTATATCTATTTGATTTTACATTTGATTGTCTATTAATGCTATTACACTAATAACCAATTTCTGGAGAAAAATGATTCAAATGTTCAATATTCATTTTTTTCTAAATGTCATTGATAAATTATTTTATACGCATACATAAAAAATCAACTCAGTTGATTTCACTTTTATTTTACATATTATCTAAAAATCATTTTATGTAAAAATAAGCCATAGAATAATTTTACTATTTATTATACATCATGTTCTATTTACTATACTGAGAGAAAAGAAACATGAATAAAATTCATTAAGTTGATATGGATATGATATGAAAAAATTTTAAAAAGGAAAATTTTAACAGTGTTTTTGGAGCTATTGATATGAGGGCACTTCAAAACGTTTATGAGCAATGCAACTAAGAGGTAAGTATATTTTGATGCAAAGATTTTTTAAATCCATATTATTTTTTTCATAATGCACATTCTCCATGAAACATTTTGTAGATACCTCATAAGAAAATGTGGTCAACTAGATGGAAAAGACACTGTCAGTGGGTCTTGTCAAAAATTGGATTTTAGAGAGTTGAGGGAGTAATTTTCTATTAAGTATAATCATTACACCAAATGATATTTCTGATATCTATTTTAATGGCAGTGTATTCAGATATTATTGATTAGAGTGAAAAAGGAGACAAAATAACATTATTCCAGATCTCTGAATTGAGGCATTTCCCAATTTTTTGAAGATTTATTTATTTATTTGAAAGTCAGAATTACAGAGGGAGAAACAGACGAGAAAGAGAGAGAGAGAGAGAGAGAGAGAGAGAGAGAGAGAGAGAAATCTTCCATTTGCTGATTCACTTCCCACATGGCACAACAGCTGGGACTGGCTCAGGATGAAGCCGGGAGCCAGGAGCATCTTCTGCATCTGCCATGTGGGTGTGAATAACTGGCACCGCTCATAATCAGTATAGCATTATTTTGGGGTCTATTTTAATCCACTCACAGAAACAGATTAAAATGTTTAGTTTTAGGAGACAAAATGGTAGTTACTACTCCGCTTCTTCATGTGGCTGAAGTGAGGGCTACATGGAATCATTGCATTTGCAGCAAAATGTATGGAACATCATGTGGAATGAACTGAGCCAGTCACAGAAGGATATATGTTGTCCCTGACATGTGGGAGCTCAGATTCAAGGGGAAAAATGTAATCTGAACACAGAATGTTGAATTCTAGATGCCAGGAGGACTGGAAGGGACAAAAAGAGGTTGACCACAAGAAAATAGGGGCAGGGGTATGGTTCATTAATTGCGAAAAATATACTAATATCAGATGTTAACGAAGGAAGAATAAGGTGAGGGGAATGTGGAACTTTTTATATCACTATGTTACAATTTCAGTTTTGTAAACTTGAAACTATTCTGAAATAAAATGTTAAAAAATAAAGATAAAAAATTAAGTGTATGAATTTTACTTTGGAATTGCTTCTTTCCCAGGAGTAAAAGAATTTTTTTCTGGTAGTCAGTGTGTTGATCATTTTACCCTTTTAAAGAAATATTTACTCATTAGAATCTTGTGTAATTACTGGCATATCTCACTTTATATTTATTATTAATATTGTTTCATAGTTGAAAGTGATCTTATGTAAGTATTGAATATTCTGTTTATTTCAATTTATTACACTTTTGTAAACATCTTATTTTACATTGCATTGTAATCTGTTATTGGTTTATAATTATAGGGGATACTTAGAGATTACAAACAAAAAATAACATTACTTTTCAAAAGAAATTATTTTATTTATTTTATTTTTCAGAACACTAGAGTCTTAGGTCACTTAAATTTTATTTATTCCATGATTTTCCTTTAGTATTATTTTGTTATGTACTTTAATTCTGCATTATTTTACATTTTTATAAAAATAAATATTCGTTTCTATTCATGTATATATTTGTATCACTTTTTCTTATTTTATTCAAGTTCATATTTCTCTCTCGTATGTTTATTCCTGCTGGGAAAATGACACATTATTTTTTGGGTGCACTGATAAGTAGTGTTCATTTTTTCCTTTATCTGGAAAGTTTTCATTTTCCTTTTATTTTCAAAAGATTTTTTAAAGAGAGAATTGGAAGTATATTTTCTTGTTGACATTATTTTCAGCCCTTTGTGATTGTTATTACCTAATATTCCATTCCTCATTCAAAAGCAGGCTTTCAGGCTTACTATTGTTATTTTGAAGACAGCAAAATAATAGGTCTAATTGCTATCTCTTCTGACAATTTTTTTAATATTTCTCTCTGATGTGGTTTTTGGCTGCTTTATTATGATGTACCCAGGTGTGTTTTGCTGTCTATAAATCTTATCTGACCCTTTTAGAATTTTTTGAATACTTGGGTTGATTTCTTTATGTCAGTTATTGCCCATTGAAATGCTGCATCTATCTGATTTTCTGTCTCATCTTCTAGAACTTAAATTACATATAGTAACATTTTTTACTTAGTTGCATGTCTTTCAGTCTTCTCATAATCTTCATGGCTCGGGTTTATTTGTTTCAGTTTGTGCATTTTCTATTTTCCTGTTTTCTATTTTACTAAACTTGCCTCTAATCTATTTTTAAATCTGGAAATAATAAGGACTAATGATGGTGATGAAAAACTTCAGACAAGATACCAGTGAGGGTTTGTGCTTTTTAGAGGCAAATACACACTCTGCTTGTGCTCGAGACAAGATCCTGGTGTGGCCTGGAGGAGATATTGCTAGAGAAGAAGAAAAAAAGTTTCTAATAATATCAGTTTGTTGTTCAGTAAGATTGATGTATAGACAGGTAGAGTTGAATTTTAATTCAACAGCTATTTATCAAATCTGAAACAACTTTTGGGGACCAATACTTTGCCTTATTTTTATTAGCCAAAAATAAAATGTTCTCTAATATAGTATACATGTAGAAGCAAATCACTTTCAGTACTTACAGTAAGTTTACTGTACGTCACAGTGGTGTTTCACTTCCTAAATGACAGAAATAATAAAATATATTCTTTATCACCTTCAGTTCACAGGTTATGATGCTTCCTTGTCATTGCCACATACACTGAAAAAATTTAAACAGAACTTTAAACGCCCCTATGCAAAAATTTCAATCACTGAAGCAAATTGGTGAAACATACATTGTTGCAGAGTTTATAGTTTTAGAAATAGTTCCTAGAATAAGGTAACTTTAGACACAAGGGCAACATCACATTGATCTACCTTGAAATAGACATAAAAGCATCTTGACTAGTATTACTTATCTATAGAGCCCATTCATAGGTGCTGTCTGTGACATTTGCTGAGATTTATCTGTACTGCCATATATTATAGACAAACCGTAAGTTAAATTAAAATCCAATAAAGCAATATATAATTGTATCAAATATGAAAGCCTAATGACAGAAAGAAGATGTTTCATTGAACCACACACACAGATGTTCCTCTAGGATTACACAAGGTATGCAATATTGTTATATGGATGTTGTATTTGTGCATATGAACTACAAGATGGAAAGGGTCTGCTGGAGTTATTACTTAGGCTCTGTATTTCTAGAATGCAGCAACTTCCTGACATTCATTCAGAAAGCAAAATTCTCATTAATCATATATTTCCCCAACCAACTAGATCCTGAGAAGCAATATGATGTCTATATCAGGAAAGCTTAACCTCACTGAAAATAAAGATTCCCTTTTGACATTAACATTTCCACTGTACGGTCCTCTTGGCATCCAATTATAAGGAAAACACTAACTGGCCAAAGATAATTATGATTTCTGTATAATTTAAATGAACTCAATTTTATTTGCATTATTTTTATTATGATTATTAATTTTTAGTTAATTTGTTAATTTATTTGAGAGAGCAATGGACAGAGACAGAGGTAGATATCTACTTTCTTCTGCTTCACTCCTAAGATTCCCACAACTACAAAGGCTGAGCCAGGCCAAAGCCAGTAGTGCAGAGCTTCATCTTATTCTCCCACATGGTTGGAAGCAACCCAGGTATTTGAGCTATGACCCAGTGCCCCTCCCAGGACAAACATTAGTACGATGCAGGATCAGAAATGGAGGCAGGATTTAATCTGCAGCAATAGCTGATCTCTTATGGCACAACACCCACCCCTATATTATTAATATTTTACACAAGGTTTTATCTTATTAAATTACTAATAAGTGTATATCAAACATTTGGTACAAAATATCTGTGCATATATATGTATGGATTATTGAATGAATTAATAGATCAATACAGTACACTAGGTTATTTATTATTTAGATAATATACTAATTCTTAGAATTATGCTCAGTTCTATAGATCCTTAAATTTCAATTATAAAAGGTAAGGCTATAAACTAAGATAACAAATAAAAGTCTTCAATGACAAATAATACCTTATTTAAGTATCATGAGCAAACCTCTTAAAATGAATTTGGAAACAAAGGGAAAAATTATTTTCTAAAAATGAATGAAGTTTAAAGACACAGTCATTGTTAGCTTGGCCTTTTTTATAAAATTAGGTTTAACAAGTATAGCATATTGCTGATAACAGGATATTGTTGGCAATATAATAAAAAGTCATTGAAAGGCATAATTTAGATAAAGAAAGGGTATAGCAAGAAAACATTGATTAGATGAGACAATTAATAGCCTATTTTCTGGATCTCATTAACACAGTGCAACACAGTTACATCAATGAGCTTCTTTCTTTATGAAGTATCAAAACATGAATCCTGAGAAGGTCCATGACCCCAGCCATTTAATTATGCTGCATCCCAGGGAAGTACAGCAGATTGTAGAACCTAACAAGGGAAATAAAGACAGAATTTTGAGAAAGGCCTTATGGTCAAAACAGCCATGCCTCAAAAAGCTTAAATACAGATTCCCTGGACTAAATTTCCTTTATATCTCTTTTCTTTGTTATATTGCTTCATAGCCACATTAGCCATAAGAAGTGATGTAATTTTCCTGAAATTCAGTTTTTTAATTGTAACATTATTGCATTGCTTAAAAAACATTTTTGAATGGACATTTGTAATATCTTGAAATCATGCTAGTTGCTTAATAAACTTGGCTTCTTCTTTCTTAGGGTTCTATTTTTGTTTTTCACCCTAAAGCAATATGTGTATACATGTTTGACTTTCAATTTAATTATTAAACAATATTTTACATAATAGTTTATGTAATAATATTTTGAGCCTTATATTCCTAATGTCACTTAAATATAAAAAACATCAGGAATATGCTTAGAGAATAGCACAGAAATGTGAATGTATATAAAATGTAAAATTTGCATAAATATTCACTTACTGTCTTAAAGCACCACTCTATAGGAGGATATGCAAGATTCGTAAGAAAAACATACTTTTATAATGTCATCAGGAAAGCCCTGCCCTGGAGAGACCCAAGATGGCAGAATAGGGAGAGAGCTTACTGCTCTAGTCCAGGGGGAGACAGTTTAAAAAAGTGGAAAGACTGCAGTCTCAGGGAAGAATTAGGGAGAAAATGTCAGAAGAAACTTCACACAAATTAGAGACACTGTGGACCTATGTGGAGGCTGTGGATGTGCACAACTGAGAACCCCAGGAACTGAGAAACTCAGGTGACACCAGTCTGTAGCAGGCCATCCCCCTAGCCATAGCTGCAGGAAGAGATGGTGTGGGCTCAGCTTGGAGCCCTGTAGGGGGCAGTGTACCTGCCAAACTAGAGGGGAAAAAAAGGCAGCACATTTCTCTTTCCCTACACCTGGTGCTGGCATCCTGTAAACAGCAAGAGGTCAGGCACCATTTTGGACATACATAGCAGCTGTGCCAGCTCATTTTTGCATGCCCAACAATCAGCCGAGTGAAGATGCCTGAGCCTGGCTAGAAAAATTGACAAAGGGCTGGATGCTTGTTACTGTGAGAACCTTGAGGGCTGTGATGGTAAAAACACTGTGACTGCATGGGAGAGTGCAGAGTGTGGCTGGGACTTTGGGCAGTCACTGTGGGCAGCTCCACATGCTCAAGGCTCCCTGACTCCCTGGCAAGGGTGATTGTTGTGAGACCCATGCTTACACCAAGGACTGCACAGATCCTTTGTGTTGTTCTTGCTGCAGCACTGAGGAATATCGTACCCAGTGGGGATAATGCTCGGGCACTGGTCTCTTTAGAGGAGAGGAGGTATCCATGAGGCTACATCAATAGAGCAGAGCAAACCTCACCTCTGATTAAAAAAAAAAAAAATACCATGTCCAGCCTGAGTGTCACACCTTAGATACTCCTTTCAACAACAGAGCACTGAACAGAGCTCCCTGGCCAAACCCAGCATACACCGCTGGGTATTCACTGAAAAAGTGGATACTCCACCAAGCCACAGAGGAATAGTCCAAAGTTAAAATCCACTACAGGGAAAAATAAACAAAACAAAACAAACAAAGAAACCAACAAGTATCTTTACAAATGATGAATCATAAATGAGGCAATTCAAGAAGCTAGAATAAGGAAGACAACATGGTGACCTCAAAAAAAAAAAAAACATTTCAATACAAGAATGTGAAGATGAAGACATTGAAAAAATGCCAGAAATGTAATTCAAAAAATTGATTATAGGGTTACTTAGTATTAATCAGAAGCAAAACCATGAACTAATGAAATTCATACATGACGTGAAATAAAATATCTCCCATGAAATTGTGACCTTAAAGGGTAATCAAATGAAATCTTGGAAACAAATTAATAGATCAAATAAAAAATGCAGTGGAAAGCCTTAACACCAGAACTGGTGAAGCAGAAGAAAGAATATCCAAGTTAGAAGACAAATTGCTGGAAATTTTACAGTCAGACCAAAGAAAAGAAGAAATTAGAAAACTAAAAAAACAGTATTGAAAATCTAAAGAATACCATCAAAGTACCCAACATATTAGTCTTAGGAGTTCCTGAAGTATGGGAAGGGAGAATGTAATAAAAGTCCTTTTTAATGAAATAATTACAGAAAACTTCCCTAATTTAGAGAAAGAAAGGGATGTTCAAGTACAGGAAGCACATAGAACTCCCAAAAGATTTTACCAGAAAAGATCTTCACCATGACACATTGCAGTCAAACTCTCCACAGCAAAACATAAAGAAAAGATTCTAAAATCTGCATGAGAGAAACATCATATTACTTTCAGAAGATCTCCAATTAGACTCACAGCTGACTTCTACCAGAAACATACATGCTACGAGAGAATGGCGAGATATATTCCAAGTCTTAAGAGAAAATTACAGTCAACCCAGAATATTGTACCCTGCAAAGCTCTCATTTATTAATGAAGGGAAAATAAAGAGCTTCCATAACAAAATGAAGTTGAAATAATTTGTCACTACCCATCCAGCCTTACTAAAGTTGCTTAGGGATGTGCTGCATATAGAGACACAAAAATACAATCATCACTATGAAGACAGAAAATCTCCCAGTGAAAGAAAAAAGGAAATTTAAAGGATACAATAGGAATATTTATGGAAAAATGGCAGGGCCAAATTTTTACTTATGAATAGTCACCTTGAATGTAAATGGCCTCAACTCTCCAGTTAAAAGACACATACTGGCTGAATGGATTAAAAAACAAAACCCATCCATTTTCAGCCTAGAAACAAAGATGCACATCTCATCAACAAAGATGCACACAAATTGACAGTGAAAGGATGGTAAAAGATATTTCATGCTAGCAGAAACCAGAAATGAGCTGGTGTGGCCATCCTAACATCAAACAAAATAGACTTTAAGACAAAAACCTTTAAATGAGATAAAGAAGGGCATTATGTAATGATTAAGGATCAATTCAAGAGGAAGATGTAACCATTATAAATGTATATGAATCTAGTAGGAGAAAATAATTAAAATTAAAGAAGAAATAAGCAAAATAGAAACCTAAAATAATACAAAAGATCGGCAAAATGAAGAGCTATTTTTTTGAAAAAATAAACAAAATTGACACCCCATTGGCCCAACTAATCAAAAAGAGAGAGAACGTGTATGTGAGAGAGAGAGAAAGACCCAAATCAATAAAATTAGGGGTTAAGAAAGAAATGTGACAACAGGCACCACAGAAATGAAAAAAATCATCAGAAATTACTACAACAGCTGTATGCCCAAAAAGCGGGAAACCTAGAAGACATGAGAAGACATAAATAGAATCCTGGACACATACAACCTACCTAAATTGAACCATGAAAACATAAAAAACCTAAACAGACCAATAACCAAGATGGAAATTGAATCATTAATGAGGACCCACACAAAAAAGAAAAGCCCAGGACCATATGGCATCACTGCTGAATTCTACCAGGCATTTAAAAAAAAACTAACACCAATTCTTCTCAAGCTATTCAAAATAGTTGAAAAGAAATGAATCTTCCCAAATTCCTTCTATGAAACCAGCATCACCTTAATTCCTAAACCTGAAAAAGATACAATGAGAAATAACTACAGACCAATTTCACTGATGAACTTAGATGCAAAAATCCCCGACAAAATAGTAGCCAATCAAATCCAACAACACATCGGAAAGATCATTCACCCAGACCAAGTGGGACTTATCCCAGGTATGGAGGGATAATGGTTCAACATGCGCAAATCAATCAATGTGACTCATCACATTAACAAATTGAGAAACAAAAGCCATACATTTATCTCAATAGATGCAGAGAAAGCATTAGATAAAATAAACATCTTTTCATGATGAAAACTCTAAGCAATTTGGTTATGGAAGGAACATTTCTCAACATAATCAAGGCAATTTATGACAAACCTATGGCCAGAATTCTATTGAATGGGGAAACGTTGGAAGCATTCTCACTGAGATCTGGAACCAGACAAGGATGCTCACTCTCACCACTGCAATTCATTATAGTCCTGGAAATTTTAGCCATTAGGCTAGAAAAAGAAATCAAAGGATACAAATTGGGAAGGAGGAAGTCAAATTATTCCTATTTGTAGATGGCATGATTTCATATATAGGAGATCCAAAAGACTCCACTAAGAGACTATGGGAACTCACAGAAAAGTTTGGCAAATATAAATCAGCACAAAAAAAATCAACAACCTTTGCAGACACAGACAATGCCATGATTGAGAAATAACTCCTAAGATAAAGCCAACTCATAATAGCTACAAAATATCAAATACCTTGGAATAAACTTAACCAATGATGTAAAAGGTCTCTACAATCAGAATTATAAAACATTAAAGAAAGAAATAGAAGAAGATACAAAAACATGGACAAATCTCCTATGTTCATGTATTGGAAGAGTCAATATCATCAAAATGTCTTTACTACCAAAAGCAATTTACAGTTTTAGTATGATACCAATCAAAATACCAAGGGCATTCTTCTCAGATATAGAAAAAAAAAATACTAAAATTCATATAGAAACACAGGGGATCCCAAATAACTAAAGCAATCTTATACAATAAAAACAAAGCTGGAATCATCACAGTACCAGTTTTCAAGACATACTACAGGGAGGTTATAACCAAAGAGCCTGGTACTGGTGTAAAAACAGATGGATAGACCAATGGAACAGAATAGAAATGCCAGAAGTCAATCCATGAATCTACAAGCAATTTATATTTGACAAAGATGTTAAAATCAATCCATGAAGCCAGGACAGTCTCTTCAACAAATAATGCTGGGAAAACTGGATCTCCACATGTGAAAGTATGAAACAAGACCCCTACCTTACACTTTCACATAAACCCACTCAAAATGGATTAAAGCCCTAAATTTAGATCCAATGCCATAAAATTATTAGAGAACATTGGGGAACTCCTACAAAACATTGGCATAGGTGAAGAATTCTTGGAAAAGACCCCAGAGGCATAGGCAATCAAAGCCAAAATTGACAAATGGGATTATCTGAAATTGAAAAGTATTGCAAATGAATACTCAGCAAAGTGAAAAGGCAACCAACAGAACTGGAAAAATTATTTTCAAACTATGCAAATAAACATAATACATAAAGTGATCAAGAAACTCAACAACAACAAAACAAACAAGCCTGGTAAGAAATGGGCAAAGGACTCAAAAAGGCGTTTTTCGAAAGAGGAAAATCAAATGCCCAACAACACTTGAAAATATGCTCAGGATCACTAGCTGTCAGGGAAATGCAAATCAAAACCACAACGAGGTTTCTCCTCACTCTACTCCTGTTAGAGTGACTTTCATACAAAAATCAACAAACAACAAAAGCTGGCAAGGATGTAGGGAAAATGGTACCATAATAAACTGTTGGTGAGAATGTAAACTGGTAAAGCAATTATGAAAGACAGTATGGAGATATCTCAGATAACTAAATACAGACTTAACCATATGACTCAGCCATCCTACTCTTAGAAATTTACCCAATGGAAATTATCATATGAAAGAATTTTCTGTACCACAATGTTTATTTCAGCTCAATTCATAATAGCTAAGATATGGAATCAACCTAAATGCGCATCAACTGATGACTGGATAAAGAAATTGTGGGATATGTACATCATAGATTACTACACAGTGGTAAACACATACACAGAGAGAGAGAGAGAGAGAGAGAGACACAAATCACTTGCAACAAAGTGGATGAAACTGGAAAACATCAATCTTAGTGAAATACGTCAGTCCCAAAATGACAAATACCATATGTTCTCCCTGACCTGTGATAACTAATATACTTAATAGAGCAATAAAAGGCAATCTGTAGAAATGAAATTGCCACTTTGAGAAGCAATGACTTTGAACAGCCTTTGTCTCAACTGTTGAGAAACAGTTTTTTTTTATATATACTATTTGTTGAATTCTTTTCTTAACATAGAGTTAACCATATATGTATAGAGTTAATTAACTAGATCTTAGTAAAAATTAAGAATTGGAATAGGAGAGAGAGGAGGAATAGGGGTGGGAGAGTGGATGGGGGGTTGGGAGAGTAGGCAGGAGGGCAGTTATGGTGGGAAGAATTATCATGTTCCAAAAATTGTAATTATGAAGTATGTGAATTTTTTATTCCTTAAATAAAAGGTTTCTGAAGAAAAAGAATGAAGCCCTACCTCCCCCTAAATATCATCAGACAAAAGTATCACAACAGAAATTATTATGCAAATATACATTATTTTATACATAATATTATTTTATATATTATATGGATATATTATATATTTATTTATATATAAATATATTATATATTTTAATAATTTTAAACATAATGTTATTATGCAAATAGACATCATGTGTATACAACTATACATAATGCACATATTTTTATAAATATATGGAAAACACCAGGTTGATAACTTAAAAAAGTACTTAACACACTATTTTACAAATATATACTTATTTATTTTTTTCTTGGCAAGTTCCAAATTAGACACTGTTCTATTAGTATTCCAATTAAGAAAATATGCTAACTTTAGATTGTCTATCAGTCTTTCAGCTAATCAATTTTCTCGATCAATTTAGTTACAGTTCATTTTGTTGTAATATTTTATAATAATTAATCATCATGTTCCTTCCCTATGTGTAAGAGGCATGAATTACCTGCAGTTTGTTTATTTTGCTTCCCAGTCAGCAATTACAATGCCAAAGTAAATTAAATTATTTTTATACAGGTTTGAGGTTAGAAACTGATGATAATTGTTGAAATTCTAGAACATGTGTATGGGGAGAATGGTCAAATAAATTAGCCTAACACTAAGATGTATTCTTCACAGAAAATTGTTAATGAAGAATTACTGATGAAAACCAGAGAAATTTTCTTCTATTTATATTTATTTCTTGAATATAACTGTAGAAAAAATGGTTAAAGTACAAATTTTCTTTGCATAAACTTTTTAAAAATCTATTTAATGAATTAGCTTTAATTGCCATTTTAATAATACTTCCTTGAAAAAATATTTGGTAATAATTGTTTCCATCAAACATAAATTCTTGGCACACAGTTATGGTTCAATAAATATTGTCCACGGAATAAATGATTGAGTGAATGAATGGTTTTCATTGTGATATAATCTTTTGAATGATAAGCAAATTCATTTTGTATGTAATGTGCTTTTAAAAAAAAACAAAATTATGAACTGGAAGTTTTTGTTATAAATTGTAGTATATATTATTACTCCTTTAATGAAATATCCTATGAAAAAAATTACCATTTTTATATCCCCAACACATGACATTTGAACAAATGTTCCCTAAAATTAATGATGATCATTTACTTTTTTGTTATTCTGTCAATTTTAAAATTCAACACGTCGCTTCACAGTACACTAATTAGAAGCTTGGAATTTGGTGATTATCATTTCTCTACTTGAAATTTGCCTTCTTTTGGAACAAATGATGATATTAGCAGTTTACTTCAGTAGTCATTTTTTTTTTTCATTTAATCTCTGTGACTCTTTACCAGTTTTTGCCTATGAACAGTATCAGGAATTACCAGATTATTCAGCATAGAGAATTCACTTACCACATGGTGAGCTGTATTACAGGCTGCATTTATTATCTATAGTTCTTGTCAGTAGAGTGGTAAATATATCTCACAGTTGGATACACAAAATTAAGTTGTGTAATGGATTTCTAGTTCAGTTGATTGAGGTCCACGGGTCTCTGTGAGCTTCTGGAAGCCATTTTATGTTTTTCTGTAATTGTCAGTCACTGTCATTTCCACTTGGCTGCTGTTCTGTGACTACTCAGAATATAGGACACTTAAAATGGTATCAGAACAGTGATAAAACAGTATTTAAAGGTACTTTTACACATACATACAATCATTCATGCACCTATACACTGACATTTTTTCAAGTATTTTGAGTCTCTTTTTTCCTGATCAAAATCAGGATTTATCTGTTTATAAAAAATGCAGCTTCATGATGTTTGCCATGTAAACACTCATAATAGAATGTGCCAGATGAAAAAAATCATAATAGAGACTTATTCTGTAAGTATCAGCATGCCAACACAGAAATCAAAAGGTCATAACAGTGAGCATCAATCTATTAAGCAAAAACACTTGCTCTTGTTTGTACATTAAGTAATCTCAAAGTAATTATGATCAGACAGAAAAAAAAGGAATCACATCTATTTTAATTACTTAAAAACGCACTCTTTTTGTCAATCCATATTATCTCAGGAAATAGATAAAGCTTTAGGTAAAAGTTTGGCTCAAGAAGATTTAAGATTAATAGTTCAGTGCCGGTAGGAGCTTGCCAGAGTGCATGAATTTGCTCTACATTTTTCAGTGATAGCAAATTTCTGATACAAAAATCACCAGCCTGGGATTCTCTTCTTTTAACCTTTTATTTATTTATTTATTTTCATTGGCTCTCTCATTAGCAAGCCTCCAATGAATAGCAGTTCCACATTCTGGAGGAACTCTGAAAATCAGGCTGAACAAGCTGGTCGTGGAAATAAAGACTTAACACAGTAAATTCAGGTGAGAAAAGTTAACAAATGTCAATTATGCATAACATCTTCTTTTGTTGAAATACACTATTTAAAATGAATAACATGTATGTGTTTTTACACATTAAGTGTGAGAATATCCTTCATATAATAAGAAGCACAGAATTGTAAAGCCACACTTTTGCTAACACTAGATCACATTTAAATGCAAGTTCTCTGAGGCATGTGTTGTAGTACACCAGATTAAGGCACTACTCAAAACACTCATATCATTTCTTAAGCATGCTTTTGTATACTGATTACTCTGCTTGTGTCATTTTGAAATTTTATAGGTATTTTTTCTCTGTATATATTAAGAGTATAACTTAACATCTATCCTCATTAACATGTTTGTAATTTATACAAAGGTACTGTGCAGTAAATAAATAAAACAAAAATCTGAGAAGACCAAAATATGTTTAGATGTCACTATTTATAATTTTTGTCTTTATCTAAGTTTCAGTATATTTTATTGATAAGAAGCCACTTAAAGAAACAAAATACAGTGATACACAGAAACACACACTAGGAGTTCAAATAGTTCAGAGAAAACGGAATTCAAAGGTAAGTTTAGAGTCTGGTTTACAGAGGGTTCTGAATGATGATATATAGGCATCAAAGAAAGATAGGCAGCTGAAGCCTTACAATCCCTATCTGGGGTAGCCCTACAGGACAGCGGTAAAGGGAATTCCTGGGTGGAACTTAGGATAAATGACCTGATATGTGATTATACACCAATTCATGAGCTATGTGGCCACTGGTATGGTTGGATGGTCAGAGACTTGAAAGGAAGATATTTTAGAAAATCAGTATAAGCATATGTGTGAAAGAAGTGTTGGATAACCCTCTCTGCAGGGGAAAGACAATAAAGATATTTGTGTTCCAGGTAGATACTCACACAAGGATGACCCCATCAGAGGAGGTTCTCAATAAATTATGTAATGCACCATTCTTTGGATGATAGTGACCTCTTGTCCATGCTTGTCATTACTCAACAGATTGATGGACAAAGTGACTATAGTGATGGGGATGTTGGTGATGTGTGGACTCATTGACTTACACATAATCACTCAGCTCTGATCACTGCCCAGTGGCTATCCTGCTAGTATCACAGACCAATGGGAAGACTCCAGTGAGGCACTGTTCTCTGAGGTAATTAGTCAGATAATTGATGGCAGATTGATCTCACTGTATCACTTCCATCATGGAATGAATAATGTTTTACCCTTAACACAATAAACATTTACTATGGGCACAGTTTTTCATAACATGTTCAAAATAATTCTGCATCTACTATCCATGAATTTATAGAAAGTCTTTACTATTATATTCCGCCAACGTTTTATTCATACAGTGTTACTAATGATCCAGGAACTCACTACACAACAAAAGAAGGGAAGCGGTATGTCTATTATTATGGAATGAATTGATCTTACAATGTTCCTCACTTTATAGAAGTAGCTATCATGACAGAATGGCAGAATCACCTTTTCTGAAAGCAGGTACAGCATTACCTAGTGGAAATACTATGCAGGGCATAAGCAAGGTTCTCCACACAGCTGCATTTGCTATAAACCATTACCCAATATATGGTATTGTTTTTCCCAAAGCCAGCATTCATGGCTAGAATCATGGAATCATGGGGCAGGAATCAGTGTGGCACCGCTTGTGACTTGCTAGCTAAATTTGCTTCTTGTTTCCAATTTATTATGTCCTCTTGACTGAAAGGTCTTAATTTCATAGGAAAGAATGCTTCACCTGGAGGTACAGCTATGATTCAATTGAACCGTCAGCTAACCCCACCACCCTTTCGCTTTTTGGGCTCTTCCTATCTCTGAATCAACAGATATGGGAAAGTTGGCTGATATCAACTCCCAAAGGGATCCTATACTACCAATCCACATTGGAGATAACAGGAATATTTCTAAAACAGGGGATTCTTGGCTTCTCTTGGTACTATCAGGCTGTTTGACTACAGTCAGAGGAAAATGATAATTCATGCAAGGCTATGAATGATGCAGACTTTGTGAAATGAGGTTTGGATTACCTCATCAAGGTAAAGAATTACAACCAGCTGAGGTGTTTCCTGAAGGCAATGGGGATACAGATTAGATATTGAAAGAAAGTAGTTATAAAGACCAGGTGTGACCACATGTCTAGTTGAAATAATAAAAACTATATTTTAATCTGTACCTAATTGTTACATTGTCATGAATTTTTTGTGGGGGATATATGAGTGTGTGTTTGTGTGCGTGTGTGTGTGTGGGGGGGTAAATAGCAAATATCTTTGTTGTCTTCCCTATGTTATGCCCTTATGATATGAAATCATTGGTATTCAATTTCTTTAAAAATAATTTATTTTCATCTTATTCAAGAGAGAGAAAACAGAAATATATTTCATCTACTGGTTCATTCCAGAAATGCTCACAACAAATGGTGTTGGGTCAGGCTGAAACCCGCAACCTGGAACTACTATCCAGGTCATTCACTTAAGTAGCTGCAACCCAAGTACTCAAACATCATCTCATTGTGTATTAGCAGGGAAGATGAATTGGAAGTAGAGCTTTGACTCAAACCCAAACCCTCCAATATGGAATCTGGCCTCCCAAGTTACACCTTAATTGCTGCAATAAATGCCCATTACTGTATTTCTAAGTGATTTTTCTTCATTCAAGAGAGCAAAATGTTGAATACAAGAAGTGATAGTTTTCCATGCATGGTCAGATTAAAGCATTTTTTAAAATAAATCCCAGCTGTGATGGTAGAGCTATGCCAAATGCCCATCACAAGTTGTATTGGATTTTATCATACTATTTAAGTATTGATAACTTTACACCACAATATTTATTTATTTTTAATAGTTATTTGTTTTATTCTACTTGAAAGATAGAGAGAGACAGTAAGAGAGTTTACCCTCCAAAATGCCTACTGGTTTACTCTGTAAAATGTCCACATCATCCAGGTTATAGCCAGGGATGAGCCAGGTTGAAGCCAGGATCCTTGAACCGCACCTGGGTTTCCCATGTGCTTGACAGGGGGCAGAAGTTCTTGGGTCATTATCTGCTAACTTGCAGGATGTGTTATCAGGAAGCTAGATCAGAAGGAGGAGAGATAGAACTCAGTTGTCACTTTGTTCATAATGGGATCTGGTGTCCAAAGCAAAAAGTTAATCACTGTAACCCAACATCTGCCCTGCATCATAATATTTAAATTATGGGAATTCTAAGAAAAATAATTTAACAACTTTAACCTATATTCCTGGGAAAGTATTCGTGCCTTTTCAGTTGTATACAGATCGACTGTGTCATGTTATAAATAATAATAACCTTGTTTTTTTTCTTTATTTGAAGATTTAGTGTGATTTAAATAGATACATATGTGTATCAAGTTGTAATGGAGTGGAATTATGATGGTCAATTTTATGTGTCAATCTGACTGGGCCGTAGGCTGCCCAGACATTTGGTCATATATTATTCTGGGTTTCTGTAAGGTAATATTTGGATTAAATTAGCAGTTAAACCTGGAGAATTAATAACGTAGATTATCCTACCTAGTATCAATGGAAGTCATAAAATTACTTGAAGGCCTGAATAAAACAAAGTTTGATTTTCCTCAGTCTATTATGAAGTTTAATTCTTCCAGTCTGACAGCCTTTGTTTTTTAAAGATTTATTTTATTTATTTGAAAGGCAAAGTTACAGAGAGGTAGAGGCAGAAAGAGAGAGAGGGGGAAAAATCTTTCATCTGTTGGTTCACTCCCAGATGGCCACAATGCCCGGAGCAGAGCCAATCCAAAGCCAGGATCCTGGACCTTCTTCTAGGTCTCCCCACAGCTGCAGGGGTCCAGGGACCTGGGCCATCTTCTACTGCTTTCTCAGAACACAGCAGAGATTTGGATCAGAAGTACAGCAGCTAGGACTCAAACCTGTGCTCATAAGGGATGCTGGCATTACAGGCGGTAGCTTTACCCATTATGCCATGGTGCTGGCCCCAAGTCTGACAGTCTTTAGGCTGATGTCTAATTTTTTTTCCACTGCCTTTGGAGTTGGAATGAAACACTCTTCTGGGTTCAGGAGCTGCTAGACCTTGGACTATATCTGTGCAATCACTTTCCCTCATCAAACTCAGGTAGGGGCTATGCCATCAGCTTTTCTGATCCTCCACATCTTCGGACTGGTCAAGCTTTATGACTCCAATAACTAACATGATACATCCCTTTATCCAATAACATCTGTTTGTGTACATCTTTAAATGTGTATATACCCAGACATATCCTATTGGTTCTGTTTTTCTGTAGAATCCTGAATAACACCTGCAGTAAAACATGTTTATCTTATTGCTGTGAGAAAAATTAAATGATAAGGGCCTGAGCTATGGAGCATCAAGTAAATCAGTTTTCTGCAGTGCTGGCATCCCATATAGGCACAAGTTCGGGTCCTGGCTCCTCCATTGCTAATCCGGATCCTTGCTAAAATGCTTGGGAAAGCAGCAGAAAATGGTTCAAGTTTTGGGCCCCTGTACACACATGGAAGATGCAGATGAAGCTTCTGGATCCTGGCTTTCGCCTGGTCCAGCCCTGGCTGTTGCAGCCATTTGGGGAGTTAACCATCAAATGGAAGATGTCCCTTTCCCTCTCTCTCTGTGATTCTGACTTTCAAATAAAGAAAAGAGACAACTAAATGATGAAAAAAACTATTTTCTATAACCCCAAAAAAGATATATATTAATTCACATGAATTCTACAAACTAATTCAAAAGACATAAATATATTAACAAAAAAACCATGTTCAATGACAACATTAGATCCTCAAGGGATATTCAAAATAGTAAAATATATCAATTAAACAATAATTGACACTAAGCAATAAACATGAAACAGAAAGTCAGTGTAATTGGCTAATAAAATCCATTTAGCAAATGTGTACTGACTTGTCAAAGGAAGAGAAAATGAGTTGATACTTGGAGGAGGGATTGGGTGGTGAAAATGTATATGAAGTGATCTTCATTTGAAAAGTAGTGATGTCAGATGTTTGAATGAAAAATCAAGAATCCCTCATGATAAATTTTTTCTCCCTGAGGCCGTGATGAGTATAATCCTCTAACTAGGGCTTTTTAAATAAAAATAAATTATGCTTATTTATTTTTATTTATTTGAAAAAGAGAGTTACAGACAGAAAGGTCTCCTCTCTTCCAGTTCACCCCCAAATGTCTATAAGAACTGGGAGTGGCCCAGGCAAAGCCATGTACCAGGAACTCAATCTGGGTTTCCCACTTGAGTGGCAGGGACCCAAGTACTTGAGCCATCACTTGACACCTCCCACCATGTGCATTATCAAAAGCTGGAATTGGAGGCAAAGTAAGAACTCAAATTCAGACACTTACAAACAGGACATGGACATCCCAAGCAACTACTTAACCACTACCCCAAATGTTTGACCTCTGTTGGAAGCTTTGATATATACTTAGAAAGGTTGCAATCTGAGCTAAAAAATATTGTTTGAAAATACATTGAAGATGCTTGCCTAAGTCACAGAATGAGTAGATGTAGAGATGCTATATTTTTAGCATTTTATGTATTCACATACACACACAAAAAAGAGAAAGATAACCATATTTTTGGAGTTTTTCAAATTTCTAGCTTATCATTCAAATATTTTTCACAGGATATTGTCCAACTAGAAACTGTCATATTGACTGAGTTGGTAAGTGTTTTGTCTAATATTAACAAGGCATTGTCACTTCTGAAAGCATAATAATCCAATTTCTGTTTCAAGGAAAACTTTTTTAGAGCAAAACCATAAAACAAGTTCTCTAGAAAGCTTACAAGTACCATTGCTTCATAAAATTATTGAATAAGCAACCAATATGCAAAACCATCTTTTTATATGGATAAATTTCTCCATATAAATCTGAAGTTTCTCATCAAGAAAAAACAGTACCTAATATAGTGGCAAATTATAATATAGGAAACTAAAAAGAAGGAAATTTTGTGTAGTCACCCTGGGTCTCAGGCCCAGCAGTATTTTTTCCATGGCCTTTTCCACCAGGTTGCTATTTCTTACAGTCTGTGATGCATTTCTCTGACATTAAGCTCACGTCTGTTCTTGAATCTTCAGCATTTAAATGTCTTTCTCTTGCTTACCTTTGTTTCCTTTGTCTTATAAGTAGATCCATCAAAACACTTTAACTCTTGACTTGGCCTTCTCCAGAGAAATAGAAACAAAACATTGTACATACGAGGGGTCTTTTAAAAGTTTATAGAAAACTTATATTATAAAAATAAATGCATATGAAAAATATTTTTACACAAAAATAAACTTAGTCTGTTAAATTTTTTTACATATTTACCTGAGAAATGGAGAAGCGAAGAGACAGAAAGAGAAAGAGAGTGTGTGCTTTCATGAAAGACTGCCAAAAAACACACCAAACACTGGATTAAAGGAAATATTTTATTGTTGAGAGCTGACAGGCTTCCGTGCCGGAGAGAGCAGAAGCTTGTGCTGGCAAAAACAGGGTTTATTATAGCCTTGCAGAGGTAATGGAGTGAAGCAGTGAATCCTGTTACAGTAGGCAGTGGAGTTGACGCTTGCAGTTGAGACACCTGGAAATCTGATTTCTGGTGAAACCAGAACTGACTCTGAGAAATTGAAACTTACCTTGGAGATATCTAAACATATCTTGTAAGGTGGAGCAGGGTGGCATCTTAGGATAAGAAGGTGCCAGCGACAACTAACTGAGCACCAAAGGGGAAACCTGTTGAAGTGAAATGGACACTATGAGAAACAGTGACTTGATCAGCTCTTGTCCTGACTGTTGATGTACAATGTAATACTTTATCCATTTTAGTATTTTCTTTGTTCTAGTACTACTGGTTGAACTCTGTAATTAACACACAACTATTCTTTTTTTTTTTTCTAAGAAAGTCTTTATTACTCCATCACCTTTTTTTTTTTATCTTTTATTTAATGAATATAAATTTCCAAAGTACGACTCATGGGTTACAATGGCTTCCCCCCCCATACCGTCCCTCCCACCCGCAACCCTCCCCTTTCCCACTCCCTCTCCCCTTCCATTCACATCAAGATTCATTTTCAATTATCTTAATATACAGAAGATCAGCTTAGTATACCTTAAGTAAGGATTTCAACAGTTTGCTCCCACACAGAAACATAAAGTGAAAAATAATAGATGATATTTTAAATGATGATGAAATCAGATCAGACCTATTGTCATGTTTAATCCCAGTGAGAGTCAAGTTGGGAATTGATAATTTCTTTTTTTTTTTTTTTTTACAGAAGATCAGTTTAGTGTACATTAAGTAAAGATTTCAATCGTTTGCACCCCCATAGAAACACAAAGTGAAATATACTGTTTGAGTACTCATTATAGCATTAAGCCTCAATGTACAGCACATTAAGGACAGAGATCCTACATGAGGAGTAAGTGCACAGTGACTCCTGTTGTTGACTTTACAAATTGACACTCCTGTTTATGGCATCAGTAATCTCCCTATGCACCAGTCATGAGTTTCCAAGGCTATGGAAGCCCCTTGAGTTCTCCGACTCTTATCTTTTGTGGTCATAGTCATAGTCAAAGTGGAGGTTCTCTCCTCCCTTCAGAGAAAGGCACCTCCCTCTTTGAAAACCTGTTCTTTCCACTGGGATCTCACTCACAGAGATCTTTTTGCCAGAGTGTCTTGGCTTTCCATGCCTGAAATACTCTCATGGGCTTTTCAGCCAGATCCGAGTGCCTTTAGGGCTGATTCTGAGGCCAGAGTGCTGTTTAGGACATCCGCCATTCTATGAGTCTGCTGAGTATCTCACTTCCCATGTTGGATCACTCTCCCCTTTATTTATTCCATCGGTTAGTGTTAGCAGGTACTAGACTTGTTTATGTGCTCCCTTTGACTCTTAGTCCTTTCATTATGATCAATTGTGAACTGAAATTGATCACTTGGAATAGTGAGATGGCATTGGCACATGCCACCTTGATGGGATTGAACTGGAATCCCCTGGTATGTTTCCAACTCTACCAATTGGGGCAAGTCAGCCCAAGAATGCCCCAAATTATACATCTCTTCCCTCTCTTATTCCCACTCTTATGTTTAACAGGGATCACATTTCAGTTAATTTTCAACACTTAAGAATAACTGAACACACAACTATTCTTAGGTGTTTAAATTTTAACTGAAAAGTGATCCCTGTTAAATATAAGAGCGGGAATAAGAGAGGGAGGAGATGTATAATTTGGGATATGCTCAATCGGTCTTGCCCCAAATGGTGGAGTTAGAAATGTGCCAGGGGATTCCAATAAAATCCCATCAAAGTGGCATGTACCAATGCCATCTCACTAGTCCAAGTGATCAACTTCAGTTCACAATTGATCACACTGATAGGTCTAAGAGTCAAAGGGATCACACAAACAAGACTAGTGTCTGCTAATATTATCTGATAGAATCCAAAAGGGAGAGAACGATCCAACATGGGAAGCGGGATACACAGCAGACTCATAGAATGGCAGATGTCCTAAACAGCATGCTGGCCTCAGAATCAGCCCTTAAGGCACTCAGATCTGGCTGAAGAGCCCATGAGAGTTTTTTAGGCATGGAAAGCCAAGACACTCTGGGAAAAAAAAAAAAAAAAAAAAAAAAAAACACCTAAGTGAAAGAACTCTGTGAGGGAGATCCCAGTGGAAAGAATGGGGCCATCAAAGAAGGAGGTACCTTTCTCAAGGGAGGAGAGAACTTCCACATTGACTATGACCCTGTTGGAATAAGATTGAAGTCGGTGAACCCAAAAGGCTGCCATAGCCCTGGCAACTCCTGACTAGAGCCTAGGGAGATTACTGACGCCATAAACAAGAGTGCCAAATTGTTAAGTCAACAACAGGAGTCACTGTGTACCTACTTTTCACGTGGGATCTGTCCTTAATGTGTTGTTCAAGGGGAAGTAATGCTGTAACTAGTACTGAAACAGTATTTTTACACTTTGTGTTTCTGTGTAGGTGCAAACTGATGAAATATTTACTTAATATATACTGAATCTATCTTCTGTATATAAAGATAATTGAAAATGAATCTTGATCTGAATGGAATGAGAAAGGGAGCAGGAGATGGGAGGGGTGCAAGTGGGAGGGAAATTATGGGGGTGGGAAGCCAATGTAATCCATAAAGTGTACTTTGGAAATTTATATTTACTAAATAAAATAAGAAAAAAAAGAAGGTGCTAGCCTTGCCAATATTTCACCTGCTGATTCACTCCAAAACTTCCCACATGGTCTGTGCTTGGGCCAGTTCCAAAGAAGGAGCTGGACACTCAAAGTAGGTCTTCCATATGGTGGCAAGAACTCACTTACTTTTTGTTATATATAGCTTTATTTATTTATTTTGAAAGTCAGGGTTACCTCGAGATAAAGAGACAGAGAGAGAGAGAGAAAGAGAGAGAGAGACTCTTCCATTCATTGATTTACTCCCTAGAAGGCCAGAATGGCCAGCAATGAGCCAGGTGAAAGCCAGTAGCCAGGAGTTTCACCTAGGCCATTCACATGAGTAACAGGGGTCCAAAAACCTAGACCATCTTCTGCTACTTTTCCCAGGCCATTAGCAGGGAGCTGCTTTGGAAGCGGAGCAGCCAGGGCATGAACTGATACCCATATGGGATACTGGCAACGCAGGTTGTGACTTTGCCCACAATGCCATGGCATTGACCCCAGGAAACAAGTTTATTGATAGATCACCACTGCTTTCTGAGATTCCTATTGGCAGGAAACTGGACTCGGGCTGTAACTGGGATGCACACCCAATCACTTGAATGTGGGTTGCAGTATCCCCAAGTGAATATTAACTACCAGACCAAAGGCATGTCTCTGTACTTATTTCTTAATTACATTTCCCACAAATCTCTTATAGTACATTCATATATATGGAGAGAGAGAAAGACTGATAGAGATATAGAAATAAAGAGAGAAACAGAAAGAGAGAGATGTTAAGGAATTCAGTCACACTATTATGAGGGTTGGCAAATCTGAAATTTGCAGTGAAAATTCTGGCAAGCTGAAAGCTATGACAAAATTTGATGTTGAAATCTTAACTACAAAGTCTTATGGAGAACTAATTATTTTCTTTTCAAGGGACCATGATCTTTTCTACTAAAGTCTTCAGGAGACCGGTTAAGGCAAACTGACATTATTGAGAAGGGGAATAATCTGTTTGACTCAATGTCTATTGGTTAAATTAATTGCAACCTTTATAGCAACACTTAAACTAGTATTTAAACAAAAATTAAGTGTTATGTCTTATGGAAATTGATCCATGAAACAAATTCTCCCAGTTCCTAAAAGATACACTAAATTGGTAGAATTGTACTGTTATTGATATTTTATTTTAAACAGCATATTATTGATTTATATATAAATTGATATAGAAACCAAAGAGGATTTCACAAAAATTCAGATTCCCTGGCAAACAACCTCACACATTTCGTTGCATGCATTAATCAATATGTAGTTTGTATTTAACCTCTAAAATTTGCTCCATATAACCTGAAGATTGCTGGAAATAAGCCCAAAGAATTTACTTCCTTTTCTGTGGGACAGCTCTATACTATTATTGCAGAAGTTATATCCAGAAACACTATCACTATAACTAGAATTTGTTACAAATAATGTATATATTCCTTTCTTGATTTTTTTTCTTTTTTTTCATTTTTTTAAACTTTTATTTAATGCATATAAATTTCCAAAGTACGACTTATGGATTACAATGGCTTCCCCCCCATACCGTCCCTCCCACCCACAACCCTCCCCTTTGATTCTTAATTCATACACTGAAACCCGTAATCAAACCTAAACATGCATATACCACATGTACTCTGTATTCATTAAAAATCCCATCATATCGAATAATTATGTATAAATTTATGTGTGAGTGAAGTAATATATTTGTCAATAAATTATGTAGCTGAAGTTCATGTTTGAAAACTATTTGTGTATGTTTTTAATATGTGTAAATTGATGGATGTATGTATATAGTTGTCTCTTCAAATCCACAGTGTTTTGGACCAAGGATCCCCTTAAAATACACAAATCCATGGATATTCAAATTTCTTATTTAAAATAGCAAACAATCTTTATACAACTTGTTCAAGTCCTCCCATGTAATTTAAATCACCTCTAGATTACTTATGATATCTAGTGTGACATAAAGATATGCAAATGTTGCTATAATTATTGTTTAGGGAATAATGACAAGAATAAATCTATATACGTTCAGTACAGCTGTAATATTTTCTTAATATTTTACATCCAAGTTTGGTTGAATATCTAGGTTTGTTACCTGAAGTTATGAATGGCCAGTCAACAGTTTTAATGTGTCTAATAATTATGCTTCATTTAGCTATCATGGAAAGCACAAAATGATAATATATATTTCAGTATCTCGTCTTTCCTCCTTGTCTAAGAACTTTTATGCTAGTTTGCTTCTTTGAAACATTCAGCCAATTTAAATAGAAAATCTTCTCTGTATAGCAAGTGGAGCTATCTTTGTAATTACTTGTGAAGTAGAGAAAGTCTAGTGTACTGGTGCAGAAGAAACTTGTTCATTTTAGCCTTTTATTCAGTGGTGAGGAAAGCTTGTCTGAAAGGGCTTGGGTTGTGAATATAATACACTTTTCATTATATCATTTGCTTATTACACTGAAACACACAAAAAACACAGAGTTTTTCCCTTAATGTTTTTATTATACAAAAATGGTGGCTGGACTTAACAAATTCATTGATTCTGCCATTTTCCATTTCTGTGTTATGACTTTCTGAAGTCTTCATTCTCTTTTATTATTTTGCACAGTAAACTGAAGGTGATTTTTGATATTTTGTACTTTTTAGACCAATATTCTATAAGCATTGTAATATTTTTTCCCTTTTTAGTAGGAGAACTAGCAGATCTACTTATCAAGTTTCCTTATTATTTCTTACGGCTATCAATCTTACACAGAATCGCATAGGAATCAATTTTCTTTATATATTCTTATTCCCTGATTTAGAGCCATCATTTGTTATTATAGCTTTTCTCTCTCTTTTTTTTTTTTTTGACAGGCAGAGTGGACAGTGAGAGAGAGAGACAGAGAGAAAGGTCTTCCTTTGCCGTTGGTTCACCCTCCAATGGCCACCGCGGCCGGCGCACCGCGCTGATCCGATGGCAGGAGCCAGGTGCTTCTGGTCTCCCGTGGGGTGCAGGGCCCAAGGACTTGGGAGCTTTTCTCTTTTAATCATAGCATGTAGTGTAATTTAGTTTACAATATGGTAAAAAGTGTCCCATGTTTAGCCATTCCTGTATTACCACAGAGAGCATTAGCTTCTATTAATTCATCCTGGGTAATTTAGCAACTTAGAGTAATAGAAATAATAATACTGATACATTCTTGGGCACAGCACAAAATCACAACTGGTTATATTAAAGCCAGTTTAAAATAATTCTTTTATTTTCTGTACTATGTATGCTGAGGACACACACACACATGCTCTCTGTAAGAACTGGGTGGTATAGGAAAGAAACAATGTATTGTGGTTACTAATACAATAAGCAGTGCCTAAACTTTATAGCAGAACAAACATAATAATATGGTACTTTTCCCTCTCAGCAACTTTGTTCATGACTTTTGAAAAAGTATATATTCAAAAGCCTGATGTTTTGATGTTAAATTTTACCTGAACACAGCAGTCTAGAAGGTTATATAGGATCAAGTTTCAGGAGGATGTACAGCACTTGTGATGTTCTCAGTGTTTGAAAATTAGACATAGTTGATGTTTTTATGTCTAGCACACAGTAACGCTATCTAAAATGTAACACCTTTTGTCCTATATATACAAAATTCAGAGAATAGACACACACACACACACACACACACACACACATCTCCCTTGAAGATACAACCATGCCAGATTGTAATGTAATAGGATGTCTTGCTCTGTTTCTCATTCTTTATGCCCTTATTGGCCAGGCTACAGCAGAACACTCAACTGCTTTTAATGACTTTCATTACTCCCTCTTATTTTCTAGGTTAATGACATATTGAAAGTGCTAATGGCATAAAATTTTCAAATAGCTCACACACTGTTCATGAAAGAGGCAGTATATTTTACTTTATATGCATATAATTTTTTCCTAGTGGATTAGCTACAACATTTTGCTGCTTTATAATTTCTCAATTTAATTGAGAACTTTAAAAAAAAGGCAAAAAGGCACAGTGCCATAGTGTGAAGTTGTGGTTATAGAAGGGGTTACATTTCTCATCCTCCCTCCAATGACTATGGGAGCTAATATAGAAGCTGGGGAAAGAATGCTGGAAAACCAAATATTTAATCTTCTGTCACATTTTATAAAAAAACTATGACAAATATTCCAAATGATGACAACCCTATAATTACTATAAAATTCAGGGCCAGGAAATGTATAAAATTCAAAAACTCAATTTTCAACAGCCATCAATTTTTTCTCTTGGGTTTTATATTTATCTCTCCAAATACAAATTATAGAACAAAGATACAATTAAACTTTATTCTAAAAATTCCAAAAATAGCAGTTTAACTTATTTTTATGGTACTATTTACATGAATAGGAAATGACAATTCTGTGTCTGTCTTTTTTAATTGCATACTCTATTCCTTATTCTCTTTTTTGGTGCAAGTGACATTGATATGTTCAGAGAATCATAGATAACAAATAATTATTGAAGGGCAGGAAATTAAAGGAAACAAGATTGTCTATGCAGCCAAACCTCTTGGAAAAATAACGACCTTCTCAAGAAGGTCTCTGGAAAACTAGAGTATTATTTGTAAGCTGAGTTACAACTGCAGATACAAGTCAGCCTTGGGAGCCCAAGAGCTTGGTTCTTTACCAGCAGTTGAGTGTTTCACTAATGTTTTAAATGAGTTTTCTTAGAAGTTCCTGAGCTAGCAATTTCTGTGAGAGTCTTACAGAAGTGCCTCAAAATAGGGGGATTAAGAAAAGTTGGAATGAACAGGATAAAAGATGAAGCAAATATGTTTTCTGGGCTACAGTCTGTATCTAGCTTTGTGTTACAGGTTTCTTTGGAGCATAATTTCTACCATGAAGGTTGTTCAAACACAAACCAGGGATTTGATATATACCTCATGCCCCTGCCGATCAGCAGCCTTGAATTTCTGCAGCATAGAGTCATTCTTTCCTAAAGATGGGAACTAGTGAAGGGAATTTTCCAAAGAAGGAGCAAATATGAAGACCTTGTTACTCAACATTTATGACAGACAAGGGATGTGCGCACCCCTAAGGGAAGGGATCCTATTAAATAGTCCCAATTCTGGACACACTGGCTCATTTAGAATGTTGTGTCTCTGAAAGATTATAGTGTTAACCATGGCCAATTTCCTTTAGGGGCCAGAGGTTCACCTTTGGGATCTTACAGACATGGGCAACTTAGCCTTCTATGAACAGAAATTTTATTCCAATTCTCCATAGCTATTTTTCCCTAATTTTCCTAATCTCAGAAAACAGTGTACTGCCCTGGTAGATATACAGGAAGCATAACTAGGAATAATGCTTTCTCATTTCAATCCCCATATTTAGCATGTCAACAAATCTTGCTTGATTATGATTATGTTTTTCTAAAATTTTTATTGTCTCTAAACTTCCCTACCCCACAGTTTTCAATGTCTCTTGCAGGTACTGATCTTGACTATTTGTATATCTGATTATAATGAGAGCCCAGCATGTTTGGCATTCAATTAACCTTTGCTTAATTAACAAATATAATTTTGGAAACCTCTCAAAAATACACAAATATTTTATGGTGATGCTCAATATATTCTATTTATATGACCAATATTCAGTGTCCACAGAAATTAAATGTGTCATATTGCCTTTACCTTCATTATGCCAAGTTTTGCATCACAACAAAATGGCATCAATATTTATTCTAATTTTTAACTCTTGTTCTGTGATCATTTAATTATTTAGGTCCTATGAGCATTCTTTAACTCTTACCTTTGGTTTCTTTAGTGATCAGCATGTAATTTTCAACTTAAGATATCCCTCTGGATAGGAAAAGATAAACATAGAAGACCTCATTAGCAATCTATAGTACTATGCTATGAAAACAGAATATATTTATGTCCCTATGGAAAGTACTTTAACAATACAATTTAATGTTTGCATTTAGTCTCTAAGGAAGAAACTTAATTCACTCAAAAACAGCTCCTGTTTGAAAATACATTGTAATCGTCATACCAGGAAATTATACTTCATTTTAATGTTGGCATATTTGATGCATTAATGCATAGAACATGGAGCTTCCATTCCCTGCTGATCTATTATTACATCACTTACTGTTCTCAGGAGATAACCTGTTTACAAGCATCAGCAAGAAAGACAAATGACAACTCCTGAGACACACACATATGTGTGTATTTTTAAACCTAGAGCTGCACTAGACATATTGACACCAAGAGAAGACTGTAAAGCATACCAACTTCCAACCAGGAGCACAAAGAAGCCCACAAAAATGAAAAGAGTAATTTCATTGAACTTGTGTATTTTTTTTGACAGGCAGAGTGGACAGTGAGAGAGAGAGACAGAGAGCAAGGTCTTCCTTTTGCCGTTGGTTCACCCTCCAATGGCCGCCGCGGCTGGCGCGCTGCGTCTGGCGTACCGTGCTGATCTGAAGGCAGGAGCCAGGTACTTATCATGGTCTCCCTTGGGGTGCAGGGCCCAAGCACTTGGGCCATCCTCCACTGCACTCCCGGGCCACAGCAGAGAGCTGGCCTGGAAGAGGGGCAACCAGGACAGAATCCAGCGCCCCAACTGAGACTAGAACCCGGTGTGCCGGTGCCGCAAGGCGGAGGATTAGCCTAGTAAACCGCGGCGCCGGCCTGAACTTGTGTATTTTAATTACAAACTTAGATGTATCAAGTCACCATTTGGAATATGGAAAGTAGAAACATGTTAAGAAACAAAAACACAACACAAATTAAGTTGTTTGAACAGCAAGAAATTTAAACAGAAACTGTCAGATGGATCTCATCTATCTTTCCAACAAGGCTATCAATCACCCCTTTTCCCTGCCTTCAGTACTGCTTTCTTTACTTCCAGCTGTTTGTGTTGAAATAGCTGAATCTTGTTGCTTCTGTCTAACTTGCTTTTATTCTTTAATCTTTAGAAAGCTTCTGTAGAGTATGAAAAAAAATTGTAGTGCTCATAGTAAAGTCATAGTTTAAAATAAAAGTACTGTAAGATTCAAGGGACAAATCTCACTCCTTGTGGAAGGTACCTATAATAGGTAAAATACATTTGCAATGTGAATATCATATTTATTATAAGTATTTATTTATATATTTACAGAAATCAATAGTATGTTCATCAATGGGTTCATTTTCTAAACCTGTAAAGTCATAAATGGCTAGACTCTCTAGTTTGTTGTCTAATGCCACAGTGTCTGAAATTACTTCATAATTTAGCAAATTTCTCTAAGATGCTATGAATTCATCTTTCAATTATTTAGACACTTTGAATTTTACAAAATATTTTACAAGGTGTTTCCAGGTACCTGATTTATTGAATATATAATATAGTAACTTTATTTTTTCTTTTACCTTGATATATAAATAATATTTCTTGTATTTAAAAGATTTTATTCATTTATTTGGAAGGCAGATTTACAGAGAGAGAGAGAAGGAGAGGGAGACAAACAGCGAGAGACAGAGAGATCTTCCTTCTGCTGGTCCACTCCCCAACATGTTGCAACTGCCCGGTCTGGGTCAAGCCAAAGCCAGGAGCAGAAGCTTCTTCCAGGTTTCCCATGTGGATACAGGAGCCCAAGCACTTGGGTCATCATCTGCTGCTTTCCCAGGTGCATTAGCAGGGAGATAGATCAAATGTAGCCAGGACATATGGGATCTTTGTACCATGCTGCCTCAGATCTTTGTATCATGCTGCTGACTCTTGAAGAATCACCCTGATTGTGTGATTTAATACTATCCAAAGTAACTTGTGCTTCTATAAATTATAAATATTTCCTTTTCATGTTAAATATTATCCTTTTTTTGACAGATAGAGTCAGACAGTGAGAGAGAGAGAGACAGAGAGAAAGGTCTTCCTTCCGTTGGTTCACTCCCCAAATGACTGCCATGGCCAGCGCTGCACCCATCTGAAGCCAGGAGCCAGGTACTTCTTCCTGGTCTCCCATGTGGATGCAGGGGCCCAAGCACTTGGGCCATCCTCCACTGCCCTCCCAGGCCGCAGCAGAGAGCTGGACTGGAAGAGGAGCAGCTGGGACTAGAACCAGCGCCCATATGGGATGCCGGCGCCTCAGGTAGAGGATTAACCAAGTGAGCCACAGGACCGGCCCCAAATATTATCCTTTTAAATTCTATTCTTAAAAAATTGTTCTTTGTATTTTAGCAGAAAATTGGCTCTATAAGTTCAGATATTTTTGACTTAATGCAAGTGAAATATAAGGTAAATTTCAGCACATGCAAGGCATTGAATCATATATAATGTAGTACTCAAATTGGGAGGAAAGAGATTTTAAGATAAAACCACAGTCTAATATATTTGTGGGTTCAGTTTTTTTTTTTTATATTTGATGATTCCATAGTGAAAACTGAGAACACAATAAGTAATGCAAACCATAAGCATTTAAATTTGAATGGAATTTTAGAGTATTCAATTATTCCATAAGTCCACTTATATACCAGCTTTCTTTTATTCTAATTAATTTTGTAATAAATTACATATTATTTATTTATTTGCTTGGTTTAGCTTAATGATGAGGAGGAGGGAAAAGATAGAATGCTATTTAATATATTTGTTAACTTGAGAAAAGTCGGTCTTCACATGGATATTTTCTTGTGGATAATTGCAAAACATTTGGAAAGTGATTTTTTCAATTTCATCTATTAAGTAGAAAATGCTGTAAAAAGCAAATAGAATTTCTATATTTAATGTGATTTTCACAAACATGTATGTAGATGGATATTTACAAAATAAAATGCAACGCTGAGTTTTAACAAAAATAAATATTTTAAAATAAAGTGAATTTATTTATCATGTATAATTGTTAATTACCTGGGAAACTTTTTAAAGTGGTGAGAAAAATCTTTTGTTACACAGAAAGTAGTTATTTAGTTATTATGATGAAATTAACATTATTGGATAGCATTGAATTACATTTGAATATACTCTTAATATTTATTGGTTTATATTTCATTAGAATTACTATTAATAAATATATACTCTCTATATAACTTCTAAATTCATCTTGTTAATTTTAAAACAAATTTTTCATTAGAATGAACTTGACCACCAGTGATTATTTATTTATTTATTTATTTGAAAGTCATAGTTACAGAAAGAAAAAGAAATAGAGAGGGTGAGAAGAGAGAGAGAGAGAGAGATCTTCCATCCTCTAGTTCACTTCCCAAATGACCACCATGGCTAGGGCTAGACAAGGCCATCCAAATTCAGGAACCAGGAGTTTCATCCAGGTCTCCCACATTGGTGACAGGATCCCAAATAGTTTGGTCATCTTCTGCTGCTTTTCCCAGGCCATTAGCACTGTGCTTGATTGGAAGTGGAGCACCTAGGACATAAACTGGTGCCCATATGTGACGTTGGCATCTCAAGCCAAGGCTTTACCTGTTACACTTCAAAGCCAGCCCTGCCAAGGTGATTTCATTTGTTGTTTTTCCAGTCATTTGATTTTGATATCATGAATAAAACAACTTTACTCATGTAATACTACTACTAATTTTTAATATTTACTGGTAATACTACCAGTAAAATGCCAAAGCACAATCTATTCAAATAAAATGTTTATCATAATTTACTTTGTTGTACTAAGCCTATGAATGCTACAATAACGATTTTAACTTCCTGTGCCAGGAAAGATCTATTTCAGGATCTCAAAAAAGTAAAGGTTGTAATTTCTACCTAGACTTTTGTAGATTGGAGCAAAATAGCTAAGATTTTCAACATTTAACATATTAGAATGATTATTTAATAATAAGATGAATAAAAATTAGTGAAACTGAAGGAAGGCAATAGGAATATAAACAATTACAATCACTATTTAAGAATCTGAACTAGACTATTAAAGATAAAATGATTAAATATAGCTCCCAACAATAAACTTACATCTCATCCTCATGTTACATAACTCACATACTTGTTTTATTCTGAATTCACAAAAAAGAGATGATGAAAAATGCATTAGATTGTGTTGGCACAGAATCATTTGTAAAAAGAAAATTAACAGGTAGTACTATAAGTAAAAGATATGGAGGTATTAACTGGGATATCTTCATAATAGCAATTTCCAGGCCCTTCTTTCTTTTCATTCTTTATATGTGTAGCATTATATACACATCATCTGTGGCTAAGTCCCAGATCCAGCACAAAAAGTTCTTTAGAGCCGCTCATTTTCTTCATTCTGAATTTTGTAAAGTTAGTTACATCCTCTTGGATACAAACACATTCATGAGCCTGCATGGTGTGTGTATTCATCAAGCTCCACAATTTTTGACTGTACTCTTTTTATCTAAAAGTTACAGTTCTGTATCATCTTTATAAATTTTATGCACAATATCACTTCTCAGTGTCTATAAATAGATTAAACACTTGGTATAATTTTTGCCTGCCTGAAGTCAGTTCTACTGAAATCAGCAAACACAAAACTGAATCCATATTCTTTCTGCCACAAGCATGCATGTGCTACTATGTTTCTTATCTCATAGTATTATTTTCCATTCATGTAGATGCCTCGTCAGAAACTTTAAGTATATTCTTCCTTCCTCCATGACCTCGTACACTAAATATTCAATTGATTCTGAGTTGTAATAATTTACCTCCACATCTCTGCTGAGTATATTACCACAACCTCATTGCCACTGCCACATTTCAAGCCATAATTATTTGCATAATTCATATATACTCTTGAAGAGTTTTCCTTTCCTTTGTGTCCATCCATAAATGTTTTCCTGCAGTAAGAGTGGTCTTTATAAGATTCATTTATAATGCCTCCATCCTCTTAAATTTAGTGTGCACTTCATGAAAGAATTATTAAAATACTTGAATTTTTTAACATCTATGCACACATATCTGGCCACATTCTCACTTATGTCACATATTCAACCTATAAAGAACATCTCTTACGTTGAAGCGCAACAGGTTCAGTACTGCCAAGTGGTTTTTGCACATACTCTTTCATTCATATATTATTCTCTTTTATCCCCTTTGCACTACCACAAATCGCTGCCACTCTCTTATTATCCTAACCTCAGATTCATCGGGAAAGCCTTCTAAACA